TTTTAGCAATAATTGCTATTATTTATCATCAACTGCACACAAGATCCTAAAAAAAAAAAAAATGCTATTCCCTTAATAATTGAATTTCCTTATCATCTGAAAAAGGTAACATTTCTGTAAAAATACTGACACAAATTAAAGTTAACAAGCACAAATTTTTCCACAGCTAGAGCTCTGGGTGCAAAAATTTCACCTGGTCATATTATAGAACCTTGAATTTCCTCACCCTACAAACAGCATATTGATAAAACTATTCCCTGATGCTTGCCATATGATTAAACTTTTAAGAAATATGTTTGCAGAAAAACAGGTGTTGGTTTTAGCTTCTGTCAAGGAATTCTACACTTGTTTGTTTGTTGCAGTGATAAATAAATGTAAGAGCTACATTCAACTTCATTGCATTTTTTAGGTTGTTAAATGGAAGTATATTGAGGCTCTTCAACAGCTGCAAAGTTCTGAGAGTTTGAACTTGAAAAACAAGCTCACAAAGGCCCACATTAACTTCCAACAAATGAAAATGAAAGTTTACCTTCTGACTCAAATATTTATTGCTTCTGTGGTAGATGCTCTGCAAACTTGCCTAGAGTTGCAGTTGTCACAGTTTGCGGGATGTGAAGTGACTACCGAATTTGTTTGTGATATAGACAGGTATATAAATTTGCTTGTTGATGTAAAAATTTGTTGTGTATAAAAAGTTTTTAATTTAAGATTTTGTTTCAGGCTCTTCGATATCCTTAAGAATAAAAATCCATTTTCTAGATACTTTAAGACACCTTTGCGAGTTTCAAATCAGCATTTATGGTGGCCCTTTCTGATCAAAATGGAAGAGGGACTACAGCAGCTTGCATTTGAGAATGAACAGCTGATCATAAAGTCAGCATGACATACATCATTGACAGATTTTATTTGCAATAATCAAGGCTATATTTGAAGAGTTAATAGCATCACCTTTACCTCTATTAAAGTATAAAGAAGATATTCATTGTGTTTCATTTACTATTACATAATTTTTGATATGCATGTTTATATTTTTTTCAGTTATCTTCTTACATACAAGTCATCACAAGAGTATATTGAATTGTTTTTTTGGTATGATCAGGTAAAAAGGTGGATGGAACAACAACCTCACAACAATCCAGTTCACTGCAGCATACAAGTACTGTATTTGCTTAAATGCAATTTAAAACGAGTGAAAAGACAAATGCAACGCCTCAGGATACAACAATTCTCAGTGTGGCATCAATAAATTCTACATCACATCAACATTTTCATACCAACAAGATAGTTCTTGGACATGATTTTGAAACATGGGAGATGGAAAAGCTATGCCTGATTTATCACTTTGTCCATAACATATATATCAACAGTAAAATATGGGTATACCTCATCTTTTATAAATATATATTGATTATTAATGTTTGGGATTCAATAAGAAGACAGAGATGATGAATATTTGTAACTGAGACAACTTTTATTCTAAAAACTAAAACAATAACATCATGATGTAAATCCAACAGACGGGTCCTCCCATGTGAGCATGTGACACAAAATTGCCAGTGTGAGACAGAAGGGACAAGATTTCTCTGTCCAAGGGAAGTCTCCCTGCCAGACCAAATTGGCTCTCACTTGCAAGTACTAATATAAAAGAAATAATATATATACACAGAGTTCCTTCTCAAATTTTTGTCTAATTTTCATGACTTTCCCTGACCCTCGCATCCATCACAGTATAGCATATTGACAAAATAAAACAGCATTTGACTTCCTATGCATGTATGTTTTGCTTCTCCAATGTTTTAGTTAGTTATTTTTTCTAATCAACAGTTATATATTTTTTTTATAATTGCCAAATTATTAAAATTAAAAATAAAATGTTTTATTAAAATTCTGTTATTCATCCACAACCTATAACCCAATCTGTTATTTTTTGTCAGCTGCTTCTAGCTTCCAATTGTATAAATTAATGGCAGTTTGGTGCATGCATAGTTTGCTAACTCTCCATATCTGTACTGTAAAAGTTTGATGGAACCAAACTTTTCAGCAAATCCCATTTATATTCAGTATTTCAACAACCATAGTAATTGCTATATAATACCCACTGATGAGAATTGCTGAGAATCAAATGAACTATTTTCAATTTGATCAATTTTCTGGAACGTTTACAATCATTCTATAATCAAACCAATATGCAATAACAAATCCAAATTTAAAATAGTTCAAACATTTGGTTAAAAAATCAAAATATATAAAAATATTTATAACAATGTCTGAAATGTTATCAATTTAATACATCTAAGTACTCAATGAAGACTAAATGTAGTTGAAAACAAAAAATTGCATATAAAATAGAATAGTAGAAGCCGTTCTTCAGGTTAAGCCTTAATCCTCTCCCCCCACAGGAGGAATTTCGAAAATCCCTTCTTAGGGTGGTTTTCACAACATACCCTAACTGTGTACAAAGTTTCACCTCTAGGTTCAGCGGTTTGCTCTGGGCGATGATAAATCAATCAGTCAATCACTCAGTCAGTCAGTCAGGACAAGTAATTTTATATATTTAGATTAAATTTCTCTCTTAATAAGTTTTCTGAACTTTCTAAAATATTAAAAAACTGGGAAAAAAATCAGAAATTGTTTTGTTACTCAATCAAAATTATTTATCAAAATGAAAAATGATAAATAATACCATTTAAATCATTTATCATTTTGTGTACTTTGTAAATTTTTGTAAAACTTTTGTTTAAGTTTGAGAGAAATTTTGGGTCCTGAAAATATTCTGCACCCTTTTTCATAAGATGTATTGCACCATATTACTTCTTGCTGCCTGCATATTTTGTCAGCAAAAAATCAACAAGTCAGCCAGGAAGCAAATTCCCTGACATTCCATGACTTTTTCTGAACACTACTGAAAATCCCTGACTTTCCAGGTGTGTAGGAACCCTGTATATATATAATTATAATTTGTTTATTTTTAGCATCAGTAATATTTCTATTAAAAAGTACAAATTTCAAAAAATTTGTAATCATTTGTAAAAATTTATAACAGTAAAGTGATTTGCTTCTAAAATTAGAATTTAAATATAAAGCATAAACAATCAAAAGAGAATATAAAGTAAACTGTTATGACTTCAGACTTTTATCAGATATAAATTTTCTATTTACATTTTATGAATTACTTTATTTTTATTAGCTGTTTTATCTGATAATATACAGTGGTATTTTCAGGGATGCAGTATCTATTTATATTAAACTGATTTGATTGATTTTGACTGAAAAAAATTGATTGGATTTACAACTTGCTTAACAACAATTTTCCAGAAAAAAGTTAAACCATAAAAATAGCTACAGATTTTTATGGTCTAACATTTTTTGAGTTATTTGTATTTTTATACAAAAAGCCCAAAAATACTTGTTAGCTATCATTAAATTATTTTTTAATCTAATAATTTTTATAATCAATTACAGCAGCTTTATGGAATAGTAAATAAACATTGATGATGTATGCAATCATATAATACTCAAAAAATCAAAATTATTGATAGTTACAACAGAATCTGCTTATCACTTTGAGATATCACAATGGTAACTGACTCATGCTATTAAAATGGTAAATAACAAATCTAAGATTAGGTAAAATTTCAGTTGCATTTGCTTTGATATTAAAGGACATGTTAAAACAATTAAAAATTCTATTACTTGAAAATTCATTAATTATTGTGAATTAATAACAGTTCATCCATTATTGTGCCTTTAACAGCAACTAGCATATAACTAAAAGAAACGATAGCAATTTAAACATATGTGCTGCAAACAAATAAACATTAAAACAACTCACATTTAATGTTTAAAAGCATTAATAACAATAATTGATGTTTTCAACCACATGTTGAGGCAAAAACATCAGAACTTAAAAATGCTTATTTGCTCAAACACCAAATGATAACAATAACTAAACTCTATAATAAACTAAGTTTCACAAGTGCATTTCAACTTATATGCTTTGGAACATGATAATTCTGATGAACAATAACAATATCCATAATAAAATTACATATACAGCCCGATAATTTTACTAATCAAACAAACAGCCAGATTCTTTTGAACTACATTAAAGTTAATTAATTAAAAAGATTAAGAAATTTGGCAAGAGATGGAACTTAACTGCCTATCTCTAGCCAAATTACTCAATATCTTGAATCAGTTTGTCAATATTTGTATCAATACGTGGAGTTTACTAACTAAACTAGTTCATCAATTCACTTTATAATTGAAATGATGCAAGTTTACAGTATTTTAAGAAACATAACTTAAACTTTGAATATTTCCCATTTTCTATGTAGACTGAAATAATAGACTATTTTTATAGATAAACAGAATTAAAAATAGTAAATATTTGTTTATTTTAATTACAGTTATAGAATGGATATATTACATCATTTGTGTATTAAAAAAAAACAATTCAAAATGATTTGCAAAGCATCAAAATCAATAAAAACCTATACTGTATACAGTTGTTGTCATATGAAAACATGACTACATTGAAGCGCCATCTACAGATCGTTTCCTGCTACAAATCGACGCCATTTTACTCTTCTAATGAATTTATATAAATTAAATCAAGAAATATACGCTTTATGATCTTACAATAGATCCAAATGAATAAGACAAGCGTAATAAAATTCAATTTAAATAACATCTCCATCGCCTATAATCAAAGGTTTCGAATCGGATTTTCTCAACGTTGAAATTAACATGGCGCCACATCAATGTGATTCACCACTTGAAGCAGGACTCTATAAATTCCAATTTAGCTCATTTTTATAAGCAATTATTACCTGTCTAACAGAAATAAGCTGTTATATTCATTATATTACGCAATCGCCACGCGTTAATCGCATAAATAAGCATCCTATCGGTCAGTGTTAAGCTGGCCAGCGGACGAGTACTTATATTACGCTCGTACTAAAAATCTAACGAATAAAATTGATTTAAACTATTTTTACCTTATTATTTCCACGGTACTTCACGTTTTTTTCTGTAGAAACCTTTCGATCTTATGGAAATGTTTACGGGAACCGCCAAAATTCTTCACCTTCGCACAAAGAAGCAAAAGCGGAAGTGTTGCCAATTCGTAACGTTTTATTTTTATTTCATGATGAACATGGTGAAGAATCCAATTTTAAATGGAAATCTCCTATATAAAATAATAAATTATTACTTTCGTGGTATTTTTAAATACTAATTTGCATTAAAATATCATTTCTCGATTATCGGTACAGTATATATACGTATAATGAAATCGGAAATAATCATTTATCGTAATATATTTTTGTATAGGTGTTTCTCAAGTTACAATCTTGTTGAAGATATTTAAGTCTTTGTCATTATAAAATTATCTAAATCCAAATTTTTCTTGCAAGAAAACGTGTCTAGATATCGGATTTTCATACTTTCCTTTTAACTTTCGATGGACGTTTCGGTTGTCAATTCTCACATGATCTTCCCACACAAAATTGTTAAATATTCGGACATGTTACTCCGATGTTTCTGAATTAACCGCCGGCAACAGAAAGCAATTTTGCTAGTCATAGGGAAAGTAATGGAGCAGCATATAGGTCCAGAATTAAAAAAAAATAATAAAATTACGAGTGTTAACGTCGCGTTTTTATCGTCTTTCGCGTTGTTCTAGCAACTTTCGGAGTTTTTACGTTATTGTAAGTATGGCATGCGTGAGAAATGTGAGCATTATGGTACGTATGTAACTTTCCATGTCGAAGCACGAAGACGAACATAATAACAAAAAAAAAAGGAAGAAAGGACTTCCGGATGGCCGAGTGGTTTAGGCGATAGCCTACTGCTCTGGAGATCCAGAATCGAATCCGAACGGATCGAAGGGTTTATCCATCTGGATATGTCGGGCCCGGTACCACCCGGCTGCTGAATTGTGAGCCTGGCCGAACCCATAATGGGTTTGCTAGAAAAATCCCTTTAAAATGACCACAGGGCGGAGTTTAAAAATACCAAAAAAAAAAATAAATAAATAAACTTCTCCCAGAGAGGTATGATATAACGGAGCGCTAAAACGGCAAGTGACGAATCTGTCTCGAGATCTGAAGGACCCAAAATCAAATTCATTTTTATGAATTAAAACAACTAGAACTTTATTGATGTGATTTTTTTTATTTTGTGCAAATTCATTAAAAACAAACGAAGCAAAATAAATAAAATCCGATAATATAATGATAATAGTAACAACATAATCGGATAATTCGATGATTATAAACTTTTAATCTTTACGTAATTTTTTTTTTCATATTTATTAATGTCAATATAACCGGCACGTTAAAATAAATTCATATATAATGATACACACATATAAATATAAAATATATAATACAGATAATTAAATATAAAAGATATATAATATAGATAATTAAAACGAACAAGTGTGAGCGCGAGTGATCTAAAGTATTTTATTTATTTATTTACATATCAATTAATGTAAGTGTAATGTATATCATTATAATAATTTCTAAATCATTTTTTCTTTTGTAATATTGTCGGTGATAAATAATGTAGCATCTGAACTATAATTTATTTGTTTTTGTTTTTTCTCTTTCCATCCTGTGGGCATTAAAAGGGTCTTTTATCCACACTTATCGTGGGTTTTGCTAGGCCCACGAAGGGGGTAACGATTGAGAGAAGGGCACATATCCGGGATGGACTATCCACGAAAAATTCTTAAACAGTCGCACGCACGGATTAAATCCCGGCTCCCCCAGAGCAGTAAGCTGATTCCTAAAACCCTCGAAAATTTGGCCGCTACTTTTCGTTAATTTATTTATATCATTTATATATATTTTTTATATTAATATATATACCTCAATACGTACTTTAAGTATAAAAAAATTATTTTCAATATTATAATTAAAGAGTTTTGTTTAATTTAATTAAAAAAATAATAGCAATTATATAATTTATAAATAAATTCTCAAAATTTGCAATCATATTGCTAATTATATTTATATAGTTCTTAAAATTAAATTTAATTCATTTGATTTTAAATATTGAAGATGTTACTATAATTCATTCTAAAATACATGTGCTTATAACGCAGTACTTAAAATTACAACGTAATCCATATTGTAGCTATCTTTGTAAACGCGGTACTTACACAACGTGATTTCGATACAATTTATACGAAATCATGTCTATATTCTTCTATTAATAGTAGATGTTCATTCAGTTAATACTGAAATGAAAGCTTTAAATGATAATGAATTTGTACAGTTAAAAGATGACGTGTACCCAAAATATGTAGATAATACCAATGGAAACAGTTAAGCCGAAGATTTTGGTAAATCTATTAAGGAATTCAATTTTTTAAAAAAATTAAGAGAATCAGACTTGAAAAGAAAGTTAGAAAATATTTTTGTGGTTAATGATTTTCTATCGAGCGCTCCAGCAAATTTCAGACAATTGGAAATTTGTTTTGCACCATACAACAAACTTCAAAAATAATTGAAACAAAAGTTTTAGTTCAATTATTTCTGAAGTTCGGCAGACTTTCACAACCGACTTCTTGAAAACTAAACCAGCAGAAGAATCTGAAGAAATCGAAAGTCATTGCAATGTCCAAAAGGTTTCAAACCATGAAGACTAGTGTCTTCTAATTGTATTTGTAACCTTATAACCCTGGTAATGCAAAAGCGAGACCAGGATGTGCATGTTATTTTAATGTACGAATAAATATTAAATAAAATGAAATGAAACCATGAAGACACTAGTCATTGATTGGTTTGGTTTTATTCGTATACGGCAAAGCGACACATGGGCGATCTGTCGAGAATGTCTCCAGGGAGGTCTTTTATGTAAAACTGGCCCTATTTCGAATTTTATCCATGTTTGGTTACTAACATTAGGAAAACCCGAAAACTCCACGTGACCAGTCGGTTGGTGAGGCGCGAACCAACGACCAATTACTAGTGTTCGTTCAATGATTTTATGTTCTCGGCAACTGGTGGACTCCGATGATTGGCAAATAAAATATATCGGTGAAATGTTGTTTTGGAAGATAGCATTAAAGACGATTAAAATTTGTTTTTTGTATTCAATGAAAATTGATATAAGGTAAACGCACCGGTAGTGGACACTGCACGAGTAGTGGACACTTTGAACTTCAAATATGAGTAATAAGGTTGTAGATGGCTTCACTGTTCAAACATACAAAGCATTCAATAGACAGAACTTCTGTTTACTGAATGATTTGTATGTTTGAACAGTGAAGCCATCTACAACCTTATTACTCATATTTGAAGTTCAAAGTGTCCACTACTCGTGCAGTGTCCACTACCGGTGCGTTTACCTTAATACAGTTCTTTATTTTACTAATTGTTTAATAAGTTTTTTTATTTTGGTTTGTTTAGAAATTCATGTTTTGTTAAAAGAAATTTTCTGAATTAAATAAAACTGCTTTTTACATCAAAGATAAATTTTATATTTAAAAAACTCATTTTGGAACATAAATCCACTTTTTGTGTAATGTGAATCTCGTATAATGAGATTTTTATAACGCAGCATTTTTTTTTTTTTTTGGAACGTAACTACCGCGTTATATGAGGGTTACATCTATTCACAAATAAACAGATAAGCATGTCTTCACGCCCGTGATCCAGTAAGGCAAAAGGATACTAAATCCCCTACAACTCATTCACTCAGCAGCTTTCTCCCACCTTCCGTTTTCATAAATTATATTCACAAATACTTCTTTAAAATTATTCTAAATTTCATAGAATTTAAAGAAAATCCAACTTTATAATCTCAAATTCAGTTATGTTTATGCTATAAAATATTATACAGTATATATTATGTATATATACATTATAATATGAAATAGAATGTCTTGTCCGCATATCTGTTCTCCATACACTTCTAAACCGTTTGACCGATCTGCACCAAATTTTTCATAGTTATTCTCCAAGCTCCCGGGAAAATAGATGCTACCACAAAACTTGTATTTTCCATTCTTTCTGATTTTATTCCTTTATCACTTCGCGATAAACATAACAACGGTAGTCCATTTACCAAACTTTTAATACGGTTTTCATTTTAATGTTTATTACTTTTCAGCCAGGCAGCGCCGGACAGAGCTGCTAATACCTTATATAACCTGTCGGTATATAAATTCACATATATAAAAAAATTTCAGTTTATAGAGCTATGTACGTTTTGTACATTTTGAAACATTAAATTTAGCTAGAGGTTACTTGGCTGTGTGTTTGCAATTGAATATAGCAAAAAATTATTAAAAAAACAATACGACTTAAGCAAAATGTTCATATGGCAGAGTTTATTTCATTATTACAGTACTTAGAAAAAATTTATCAATCTGTTTTTTATTATTTTTTAATAAAAATATACATTTGAACATAAAATAAATAATAATATTTTTATCATAAATATATCTCAATAATCTGAAAAAAATAAATATATATACAGCAAGACCCCGCTTAACGCGGAGGATGCGTTCCTAGATGACAAAGCGTTAAACGAGGTCATTTTAACATAGAGCAAATAGGGATAGAAGAACATGCGACCAAAAATAAACAAATTTTACTTTAATTATAAGTTATTTTTATATTAATTTATATATTAATATATGTTAAATAACACATAAACACATGCGCACAGAAATGCATAATAATATAATAATTAATTTTTTCCTGACTTTTCTGAAATTCTTGTTTTTTGCAATAAACTCGTAAAGTTTCATTTGTCGCTTTTTTCTTTCCTTAAGCAAATGTCGGTAGAAGAAGATCGCATCCAAAACGCATCGTTTCGCTTTTGCACTCCTTTTAAAATCTGGATCATTCGCTACGATTTGATAAACGATTTTGGTTATCGTTATCAAACTTTTCCTAAGGAAATCTGTAGAGAAATTTTTTGGTTCTTCGTTTTCAGAATCACTATTTTCCAGTTCTACGTGGCTCCCTTGTTCTGCCAGTTCTTGAAGGTCGTCATTGATAAGACTCTCATCAGAAAACTGCGGCAATTCCTCAATATCCTGTTCGTCTACATCTCCTAGTCCTGCTGTATCGATAATAGTGTTTGTTCGACTTAACGATACAGCGATAGGCTCTTCTCGTTGAGAATTCTTGGATACCTTCCGCCATAACTTCTTCCATACTTCGTTCG